ATATATAGTAGTCGTCTAACACTGAAGAGGAACGCAGGTGCGTTCGAAATATTTGTTTAATAAAAAATATTATGTTCCAAGAGTCAACGACTAACATCGATTTATTCTGTGTTACTACTTATTTCCGATTTTATATATTATATATATATATATATATAGATATATAATCTGTGAACAATGGCTCTTAGCAAGTGTGATAATGAAAACATGCATAGAGCGAGTATACCAATTTTAGGAAGATGTGTACTAACCTTGCTCTACTCTGTGATGTGTACAAACTTGAGGCAGACGTGATTGACTTGGTGTAACGTCTAGGTCTACTTTGTAGCCATGCCTTTTACACACTTGATCAGCGAGACTGCACAGTTCTTGTTGTTCAAGAGCATGAATCATGATTGGCATTTGGGGTGTTGATTGACCATCTCTCCAAGTTACTAGTGATTCGATGATGCTGTCTTGCAACCGTCTGTTGTTTTTTGCAATGTTATTGATATTTACCCACTTAAGTCCAAGACGCACTCCAAGTCTCCTCCATAAGTCGGAACTCAAGTTGTCACAGATAAATAGCAGATCTCGATCGTCAAAGCATTCTGGTATTAGATTTAATAACAATGAAGCAAACTTTAATGATGATAATAATAATATGCTAGATTTATAAAGCACATAATTCTGTGAAACTTATAAGCGCTGTACTTAACTAAAACTGAAAATTAAAAACCAAAAGACCAAAAGGTAAAACAAATTCTGCCATTCAAAAAAATAATTTTGGAATGTTTTAAAGAACAAATAGTTTTTTAAGTACTCTAAAAAATGGTCAATGGTATTTAAAAACATGAATGCAAGGGTTTTTTTTTTACAAAAACATGTATTTTTCACAAAGAGGGCCTATGTAGGCCTATGATATTCGAAATGACTATTTGTAAAACTTTTTAGTATATTTTATAATATAACCTACAGAATTTACATATGTGGTTTACCAAGTTAGTAACTAAAATGTATGTGATGAGTTATGATTGACAATAAACCATAAAATGAGACTGAAGCATACAGTAAAAAAATAAATCACAACCGATCAATACCGAGTTTTAATTGTCAATGTTGTGCATTTTTGTACAGTACTTAAGTTACCTGCTTCTCCTGCATTGATATGGGTATCTTCATCGACCTTGCCATCAAACAACCTGCCTGCTAGACCAATGAGTCCATGCTGTGTGAGAGCAGTGCACAACACTTTAAGTTGATGTTTTTCACTACTAAAACTGCTCCTCCAATCCTTTAACATATTTTTGACAGCCTTGAGAGTCTCTCTTTCATCAGCATAATACCTATTAATATCTGACCACCTCAGTCCCAGACGGACACCCAGCCTTCTCCAACTGAAATCCATTTTCTCGGAAACTGTTGCAATAATGGCATCATCCACAAATTGCTTTAACTATGTCCCTGGACAAGTAACAAATATTCATATTTTCAAATTGCAAAAACGTGCTCTTAGGACTTGTGCAGGATCATCCCGAATATCACATACAAAACCTTTATTTTACAAATTTCATATTCTTAATTTTTTTGATTTATATAAGCTGCAAACTTATAACTTTATATATCGTTTTAAAAATAATACACTACCTGAATACATTGTTTCCCAAACAACAATCAGATATACATAATTATAAAACCAGATTTTCTAAAAGTAATGTTTTGTTTGAAAGATATACATCTCTTCATCAAAAAAATGCAATCTTCTACAATGGTCCTAAATTGTGGAACTCTTTACCTATTGCGTTAAGAAATATCCCCAATCTTTCTTCCTTTAAAACCAAATTTAAAAAATTTCTGGTCTCAATATATGGCAGGTAAGCCTCTTGTTAAGCCTCTTGTTATATTACTTGTTATATTATCTGTTATATTATTTATATTATTATCCTATTGTAATTATTGACTTATTGTTATTATGACTATCATTATTATATGTAATCACAATATAGACTAACATATCTACCATACTATTTTTAATTTATAGTATTATGAATATTTTACTTTGTCATATATTTGTTATTTATTTATTCATCTCATATTTAAATTTGTATATATATATATCTTTTATTTTAAATTTATATATATGTGTATGTGTGTGTGTGTATGCTTGCATGTACGTGGGGGTGTGTTCGTGTGTGTGTGGGTGTACATATGCGTGTGAGCACTCTAGTTGTTTAATAGCTCTATGGGCTACAGTCAACTCGGCCACAAGTCAACTCGGCCACAAATCAACTCGGCCACAATTAACTGCAGCCTATTTACTGGTACTAAACTTTGAAGGAGTAATTCATGAAGTATAAAATACTAATTCTTTAAGTATTACTATAACTTATTGTTATTATTATTGCTCTTAATATTATTGTCATTGCTGTTATCATTGTTGTTATTATTGTTGTTATTAATACTATTATTATTATTATTATTACTATCATTATTACTATTACTGTTATTATTATTATTATTATTATTATTATTATTATTATTATGTATTATTATTTATTTATTATAATATTTATTATTGGTGGTCATGTCTGAAAGTTTGTTTACAAACTTATTTAGACCTCAGCTACCGCCCACTTTAAAAAAAAATGTAATTTCAATTGTAATATTTATCGTTGATTAAATTATATTTTATATGTGTGTGGTAAAAACAATAAAACAAACAAAACAAACAAACAAACAAACTTCCATAATATAATTAAAGATAATTCACAAAATATAAATCATGTTAGAGATTATAATATTGGTACCTGCTTTTTACAAATGTCATTTTTATTATTTTCAAAGAATACCCCTCCTCCTCTGTAAGAGTACACAATAAAACGATTTTTGTAATTTTGAGATCCTCATATCATTTTTTAATAAAAGAGTAAACTTACATGCCTAACCCCTCCATCTAAGGCATATGTTTTATACTCTTTCGAAAATGATGGACGGCCCCTACTAGATGGAAATATTTTGGTTATTAAATCTTATGAGATAAATGTATGCGATCCAGTACCCTTAAATATTTTATTTTCTATTTAAACTTGCCTTCGGGATTGGTTACTAATTCTTGAGACTCTAAAAGATCTGTGAAATGAAAATAAAATATAAATATACTTTGTTCAAAGCGATTTTGTATTTATGACAACCAGTAGAGCATTATTGTTTCTATTATTAAATTAACTTTTGTCAATAAGTGGTAAAGTGTTGATATTATGTAAATTGAAGTTTCATGTGTTTTCACTATCAGTGGTCTGATGTTAGATAAAAAAAAAAAAAACCACTCTTTTCTGTTCAAACAGATATGCCAACCCAAAACCTCAATTATACAGTATAATGTGTTTACCTTCTGTTGTGGCACGTCATCTCCAAATAGTCGGCGGTAACACTTCACTTCTATTCCATTACTTCCACATGGCAGCACATCCTTGTCAAACTTGCGCACGATATGCATGTGGGCGTCATTACACACACAGCGTATGTACCTCGTTAAGGATATTTGTTGTGGTTTTGACATATTTTATTTGAAAATACCTAATTATTAAGCCTATATAGTTAATAACATTAATTAATAATAATATACATTATATAGGCCTATTAATAATATTATTTATTGTATTTATTATTATCTTTTTATACTTCATTTCATCTAATAGCATATTCCTTAATAACAGGATCAATTATACATGACATGATACGTTTGACTTGGTTGTGTAGTCATTTTTGGTCATTATAAAGAAAAACTAATATAAATGATGGCATTTAACCCAGGGCTTTTAATTAATAGTCACTGACCACCATTGAATTAAATAATAAATACATGTATTTTATTCGTACACGAAACAGATATACCTGGAACATACGACGATGCTTGATGGTGGCTACATTCAGAACCACGTGGTGAAGTTCATCTATGTTCATCTCCACATGTTCATAAGATAATGTAGGTTCATTATCTTCTACTTGAAAGCTTTCGATGAATTTAGTTACTCCACGCTGAAAAAGATCGTCAGGTAGATAGCCACCAAAGTCATGAAAGATTGAAACTGTGCGCTTCCCATCATCCGGGGGCGATGTCTTTACACATTTAGGCATCAAGCGTGAAAGAACGTAGAAAATACGTTCAGCGCCCTGAAAAAACAGAAAGCATTGTAGGCAGCGAGAAATTGTAAAAAGAGAATATTATAAACATATTCACTGTTAATTATAATTTGTTTACATTATTTTAATTGATGTAATGAAACAGACACCAATAAAAAAATAAAAGATACAGTAGTACTGTACTTGCACGAACAAGCGCCCGGACGCTTAAAATAATTTTTTGCACTTTTTGAGGGGCGCTTATTCGAACGGGGCGCTTATTCGAACGGGGCGCTTATCAAAACAGAGTGGAAATTGAGGGGGGGCGCTTATGGAAATAGATGAAAATCGACGGGTTGTTATGGGATCTTATCAAATTCAAGAGGCATGAAGAACTATTATATATTACATCAGGAAACCACAAATTACGAATGGTGGTGCGGCGGAAAAGATAATCGTCCAAAGAGCATGGCTTGTCATGACAAGAATGATGAGTACAGTATTACATAACAGCAGATGAAATTAGTGGTGGTGGTTAGTTTGTTGGCCATCGGTCGATTGAGATTAGCAGGATGGCATGATCATTTCATGTTTTCTTGAAAACTCAGATGAGAATGTATGAGGTGCAAATTGTCGGAAAAGCAGTAGGAAGTGGGCTATAGAAAAATGTAAGAAGATGAAAGTTGGAAGTATACTGTCTGTCCAGGGAGCTCTCATCTGTCTAAGATAATTAAATATCCTCATTTAGGTATTGACTACAGGAGAATGTGATTCTACTCCACACCTCAATTAATCATGCCAACATCCACAGTCCAGGATTGATTGAATTATTGAGAGGGCGTTTATTCAAATTAGACGGGGGTGCTTATTCAAATGGGGTGCTTATTCGCGCGAGTACGGTATTCAAAAATAATAGTGTACCTTTCTTTCGCACACCAGTCCAAACTTCTGCATGAGAGATACGAAGAAGTCAAACGTCTTATCTGAAAAATTGAACTCCTTCCAGAGGTGTCTCAAAAGATGCTCCTCTAGGATCCCCGAGTCCAACCTCCTCCAGGCCTCTCTGTGCTTTGGTTTCTGAAATGTAATCATTGTAGCTTAGGCTTGTGCTACGCCTTTGTCATAAAAATAAGTATCTGAAAAAGGGAATCTAGCTAAACTTTTTTGTAAGAACAAGAAGGCTGAAATTGATTTAAAAGCACACTCTGTGCAACAATAATTTTGTATCGTTGAAAAGTGTAAAATAGGAACAAAATTAATATCAACAGTTTTAGCCTAAAATTGTCAAAAAAAAAAAAAAAAGAAAAGCGCACTGAGCCTTGGCAAAACATTACTAGTTCTTATAAAAAAAACCAAGAATACTTCACAAAATAAAGTGTGTAAGTTGAGCTTACCATAAGCTTAGGCTCAATAACGGTGATTATTGTTTTAAACATGTCGACTATTTTCATCAAATCTAAAACAATGATGTCCTTTAGAGCGTTGTCATCGGGAAAGTAGAGAATCTCGCCAAGGCCATGTAAATACTCAAGCAGTACCCTTTGAGCGTCTTGTTTCATCCCACACTGCTCAACCAAAGCAATCACCTAAAGCAAGAAACCACAAAAAAATATAACCTATTGGAATTATAAATGAGGGTGGAAGGCTACTGGTAGATGCAGCTGACAATTAGATTGTATATTTCAATAATATATATGGCAATAATAGTCATTCTTTTTGTGAATAGATCATGGATTTTTCTGGATGTTTGAGTATGATTTGACTAGTAGTCTAACTCAAACTGAACTTAGAGAATGTTCAATAGATGCCTACCTCATTGGTTGGTAAATAGATATTCTTCACCTTCAACTTCTGAATTTCCTGTTGAACACGCAACCATTTCAAAGGTAGTTTTCTAACCATCTGCTTTGCGAACTTTAAAATTTGGTTCATGATGTTGGAAGCGTTGGTCCTGGCAAACGGTAAGCTGTTCTCAATAGCAAAGAAACTTGACACCATGCTTTCATAAGGTTTCCCTTCCAATGCTTTCCTAATTTTATTGAATATCTCTTCAGCCTGAAATTAAACACTAATCATCAGACATAAATGTTCAAGGATTCCAATATTGTTGGTATGTCCACCAACTGAAAAACACAAACAAAAACAATCAGTAATTTATTGTTTCAATTGCAATATAATAGTAAATGATATAAATGTGTAAAGAATGAATGATTACAATGATGATGATGATGATGATTGGTGACTGATGATGTGTTTCAAAGTCTTTGGTCCAATGTATGAAGGGCACAGCAGCAGAGGTCATGAGCAAGCTAAATGGATAGAGGTTTGCAACCACCTATGGCCCTTGGGGGGACACAGAAGGGCCAGAAGGCTAAGCCCCCTGAAGGGTCAGTTGTCATGACATTCACATGCCTTGAGTAATCGATTTCCTATGTCCCATTCTAAATACATCTATAAAATGGAGGCCATTGGTTTGAAGTTTGAAAGAAAGAAAACAGCTTAAAGCTACATCCAGAAAAAAAACATACATGCCTATGGTCATGATGACATCACATCATGACCATATTTAGGCACATCATGGCTATATATAGGCACATCATGGCTAGATGACATCACACCATGACCATATATACATGTAGCCAAATCATGACCATATATAAGCACATCATGGCTTTATATAGGCACATCATGGCTAGATGACATCACACCATGACCATATACCGTATAGGCAAATCATGACCATATTTAGGCACATCATGGCTATATATAGGCACATCATGGCTAGATGACATCACATCATGACCATATTTAGGCACATCATGGCTATATATAGGCACATCATGACCATATATAGGCACATCATGGCTATATATGGCCATACAACAGTTTTGTTTTTAACAGTTTGATAGTCTGGACAGAGCTTTAGTATGAGTACTCTATTAATAACATCCTGATGATGATTATTATTATAATACAGTACCCCATTATAGTTTAACATGTAATTGGTAAGGGCACTTATGAAAAAGGAGGTTTCCTTCAAAACCTAAGATCTCCCTTGGCTTACAGGCTTGCTGACACATTAGGCAACACTTCTTTATACCTTGTTTAGCTAACCCGCCACATACAGTACCAATAATAATAATGACTTGCTGCCATGTAAAAATTAAAATTTAAGAAAAATATAAAATCTTTTCTTTATTTTTACTACAGTATGCCCGCTGCTGCCTTGCAATATTCAAAAATGAGATATGATATTTCTTCCTAATTAAATAGATTTAAAACATTTAATGATCCCATTACTTCACTGTTTACATTCACCAATAAAATGTTATTATAATTTTCTCCTCCGTCTGGATATATTTGGCAAAAATATTTGCTAAATATAAAACCAAAATTATATTTTAATATTTTTTTCATCCTCCTCAGATGACGATCTTTGAAACAAAAAGTTTGGGAAACAAATTATAAAAAAAAGTGTTGCCTTATTACAGTATCACTAAAATGTGAAAGGAATGATCAACTGAATTCTACCTTAGCAGCAAATGCTTCTTTGTCAAAGAGTACTGTGCCATGTCTGCCATCTCCTGTTGTAGAAAATATGAAGTCATGGTAAATATCAATACTATTTACATAGGCTCTTCTTTTTCCATCTTGGTTTCTTCAGCATGGTGTTATAATTTTTCAGAGGTTGAAATAAAAACATTTTTTAATCATATAGTGGTGTAGAATAGTCTTTTGTGATATATGATCCTCCGTTATGGAGTTATGAATTTTTAGATAACATGAGGACAAGAATTTAGCCTCAAAGCTTATCTTATTTCTGTTGGTTATGCACCACTGGCTTGCTTGGGTTGTAAAAAAGGGCATATTAAAATGCTATTAGAAGGGGTAGCCTACTTGCCTACTACTCTCTAGTACTAGCCCCAATAATGCCTAGCTTAACCAACCCGCTAACCTAGGCGGCCAGAAAGTAGTATGGAGGCTAACTAGGCCTAGTTAGAACCATAGACCCCCTACATAGGCCTACTGTAGGACAAAGCCCTAGCACAGAGAGTAAGCTGGGGGCCTAGGCAAGACTGAGCCTACATACCCGCTAGAACTGGGCCTAGGCCTAGCTAGGGAGCTGTTGTACCCATGGTTGGGCTACATTATTACTTATTTTGTAAACGTGACCATAAGCTTTCGCATTTAAAAATAAATATGAACACTTGACTAGTTTCCTCATAATTACGTACAGAAGGCATTTAGTCTCTCACTCTCGCACGCACACGCAGAGCACTGGCAGAGCAGATTGAACAGCGCCCTCTTGACGCACGAGTACATCAAATATCAATCAAAAAAACTTTGATAATTTTTTTTCATATCTATTCTTTTTTAAATATTTCAAAAACAATGTTTTAACTTTGGTTTGGATGCTATATTATTGCTGTATTTGCAATATGATGTTATAATTGTTAGATGTTAAGCATGGACCTATTTTAACAACTGTAATTGTAAATAGAATAATTGTTTCCTCGTCTAGTGTAATCATTATTTGTTTTTGTTTTAGTTTTTTTATGTCTTTTATTGATCCTTTTTTATTCAAATTTTACTCTTGCAAATCTTTTGTACAGCAGTTCAAAAAGTTATATTTTTGTATTGTTATTTTTAATCATTTTCTGACCAGCTTGAGAGCCAAAGTTTGTTTTTATAACTGTGGTCATTCCAATTGCCATCTTGGATTTTGATTTGCATATAGTTTCATTGGCTAGGAATAAATAATTTAAAAATAAATAAGTTTAAGGCGTGCATTGTGATTTTACTTATTATGCAGTGGAAATAAAATTAATAAAATATTTAAAAAAAATAAACAGAGGGCCCTCATATACCTGAAAAATGTTCGCGTTTTTGTTTCGAAGGTTGGAACGAAGTATTTAAGTAAATTAACTCAATCCAAGTTGAGTCTTTTTTTTTCTATCAAATCAATGCCGTGCTGACGTGCACATAACCACATTGTTGCTTCAGGTAGACTTCTTAAGTTAGTAAACATTTCAGTAATCATGTTTTCAAAAATTCGTGGTAAATATAAAATTTCCTAAGTACATCGTAAAATAATTCATCATCATCGCTCAAATTAATCGCTGTTGATGTATAGAAAATAATACTTAATTGTTAGCACGCTTTTTCTCATAATTTTAATAATAATAATAATAAAGGAAATCGCACTCGAATCGTGTAGTATAGGTAATTCAGATGTTTGCGGGCAGAGATATATCGGTATGTTGCTACAAAATCTGGCTGTACAGCGCTCTTTCTTTAAAAAATTGGTCATTTATGCCTCCGGACGACAACCCATGGGTCGCGACCCAAGTTTTGGTCGTGGGTGAATTTTTTGGGGTCGTCAGATCGCATCTTGGTCTAGAAAATTATATAAAACGTATGAGATTAATTAATTTGGTAAACTGTTAACTCTTCAATTTGTGTTAGGCCCTAATTGGCTGTTATCCGATGTTGATGAGCTTGATACCCATACAAAAAAGTTCTATAGAGCTCTATAGAATTCTATAGAACTTTATATAGAGTTCTATGTAACTCTATAGGGGCAAAAAAATTCTATAGAAATGTTTTATAGAGTTTACGCATTCTATAGAATTTTAATATTTTCTATAGAATGTTGTATTCCACTCTATAGAAAATTAGTTTGTTGCACAATTTATGTATTGGTAACCATACACATCTAGATGTGTATAAGAGACAGGAATAATGAGCCTAACCATTCTTTCTCACTTTCTCTCTCCCGCTCTCTCCTGAAATTACCCATTTTCAAGCTTAATTATATACTGTATTAAAAAACAATATTGGCATAGGACCATAATTCTAATTATACATTTACAGCTGAAATTGTATATGCCCACCCTTATTTTTCTTTATACCTGTAGGTTATTGTTTGGTTTCTCATCCTCTAATTTTCAAATTGTTCTGTAATGGTAATTATTTAGCATTGAATAATATACATGCCTCTAAACTGCCTTGCCTTTTTAAAATGAATTTTTGATTCACCTTAATTTGTATTTGTTTATTTTCATGTCACCTATAATATCACTTTATTTATATTACTTTATGTTATATGCTTTGCTTTTCAATTGATTTACTTACATTATTGTTTAATTTAATCATTGTCTGTATATATCCTGTCTCTTATACACATCTAGATGTGTATAAGAGACAGCTTTCAAAAGTTGTTAAAAATATTATTACACACAGGTGCAGGTTGTTTGTTCTGTGACAAAATATAGAGACTGTAAACGTTGCCTTTAGAACACAGTCCAAAATCACAAGTAAAAAGTCAAGGAACGAACGTTTTTTTTTTCTCATCAAATGCATTTATTTGATATAGAAATTCATAGTGAACCAACCAGGATTTTCAAGATGGAGACTTTAGTAGATTTTAGAAACTAATTTTTACTCTTTAATAAGCAACTACAAGCATAGAGAAAATAGAACAGAAGGAGTAACATCGAGCGAAGATCAAAGGTACAGACCTCCTCGCCGCGATCGTAATTATCTCACCGTTACGTAACCTACTTGACAACAAGATAAG